TTTTCCCTAAGGGTGTGGCCTGCTTCCAATATATATATGGACATCCTGGGAAAAAGGCAGACTCTTCTGTGGATCTGGATCCTTTGTGCTGTCTACAACTGTGAATGAACAATACACCATTCAGCCTGGTGATCTTGGATTCGTCATCCGTTGGAGTCAACAGCCAGTATATTGCCTGCCCAGCCTAACACAGTGACTTTGTTGGTATTTGAAATACCAGTGGCTCAGCTTCCAGCATTATAGCAACATGAAAGGCACTACCATAGACAAACTTACAGCCAGGTGGTGGATTTTAATGGTTGTTGTTGTTGTTGTTAGGTGCTGTTGAGTTCTCTCTGACTCATAGTGACCTCATGTACAGCAGAATGAAACACTGCCCGTGGTGTGCCAGCCCCGAAATCCTTGCTATACCTGAGCCCATCATTGCAGCCACTGTGTCAACCATCTCAATGAGGGCCTTCCCCTTTTTCGTTGTCCTTCTACTTTGCCAAGCATGATATTCTGCTCCAGGGAATGGTCCCTTCCTACAACATGACCAAAGTAGGTTTGGACATGAAAGAGACAAAGTTTGGCCATTCTCGCTTCCAAAGAGCATTCCAGAAGCACTTCTTCCAGGACAGATTTGTTCTTTCAGCAGTCCATGCTACTTTCACATTCTTCGCCAAAAACACAACTCAAAAGCATAGACTCTTCTTCAGTCTTCATTTTTCATTGTCCAGCTCTCACATACATATGAGGTGAATGAAAATACCATGGCGTGTGTCAAGCACATTTTAGACTTCAAGAAAACATATTTGCTCTTCAGCAGTTTAAAGAGGTCCCTTGCAGCAGATTTGCCCAATGCTATATGATGTCTATGTTGACTACTGCTTCCATTGGTGTTGACTGTAGAACCAAGTAATACGAAGTCTTTGACAATTTCAATCTTTTCTCTATTTGTCATGATGAAGCTTATTGGTCCTGTTGTGAGGATTTTTGTATTCTTTATATTGAGGCATAATCCATACTGCAGACTGTAGTCATCAATATTCATCAGTAAGTGTTTCAAGTCATCCTCACTTTCAGTGAGCAAAGTTGTGTTGTCTGCATAATGCAGGTTGTTACTGAGTCTTCCTCCAATCCTGATTCCACATTCTTTTTCATACACTCCAGCTTCTAAGATTATGTGTTCAGCATACAGATTAAATAAGTATGGTGAAAGGATGCAACCCTGACACACTCCCATCTTGATTTTAAACCATGCAGTATCCCCTTGTTCTGTTCGAACAACAGCCTCTGGTCTATGTACAAGTTCCTCATGAGCACAATTAAGTGTTCTGGAATT